TTAATTGATTTGCATATAAGATAAAATATACCTATAGACCATATGTAGCCAAATTAGAACCTGAACTTAATAAATCTATTTTTATTTCAATTCACATAAGGATATAGTGTTTTGGTTAAAGTAGATATTTTTATAAGATGAGTCGAGAGATCTTTATAAATAATTGAGGACTCTAAGTTAACAATTCAACCCATTGAAATAAGTTAACGAAGAAAAATAAGATTTAGATGAAGTGTGAGGGATATTATAATCCTCGACTTATTTGATTTGATATTTACTCAAGTTATTCTTATTTTGATCTTTCGTAGTTTAAATTTGATTAAGTATTTTTATTTAGTTAATTTAGTTATTTGATATTGATTGTTTGGATAAGGTTAAATTGTTCTAATTTTAGTACTTATTAAAATTTATATCAATTCTCAGTAGGATCAATACTTTGTTTGCTTATATATTATCTATTCGATATGTACACTTGCATAGTAAAATTTTAACTGACATATTACACAATTGATGTGAGAAATTATGGCTCTTTGTAGAGACTATGACATCTTTCCTAATGTGGGATTAATCTACTGTCCTCAATGACATATTGCTAGTACCTAGAGCTTGCTCTATACTAACCTACAAGATATTGTCTACTTTAAGTTACTGGTCTCATAGTTTTATCTTACAAAAGTTACCTCATTGGTTGAAGATGATGTGAATCCTCGAATGCCTAGTCTCACTCTAATATATTGTAGATGGATTCATGGCTCCCCATTCAAATCCTCATTGGGACCGTGACACAAGGCCACATGTTACATTGATCACCCCCACCCTTTCTCTCTTTTCCCTTCTTTCTTTCTCTCTCCTCGATTTCCATGGTTCTTTGGCTTACTTGAAATCCAACGAAGAAATCCCTTGTTACAAAAATGGCATACTTTTCTATAATATGTTCAATTTGGAAAAGTAGGAATGAAATAGTGTTTGAAGGAGAAGGGTACGATACGGATCAGTGTTTGGAGCTGGGAAGGCTTAGAGTGGCTTCTTGGGCAAACGCAAAACCGCCCAGGGAGTACCTGCCAGTGTTGGACATCTACAAACAGCCTCGTGTGAACCCCCAATCAATAAAACAAAAGTGGCAAAGGAAGAAAAGGAATAAACTGAGAGGAACCACAACAAGGGTAAATGAAGTTCAACATAAACAGAGCTGCTAAAGGATGCTCGGGCCTTGTTGGGATTGGTGGTATCTTGACAAATCCAGTTAAAATCATCTTCTCTAAACCCATGGGTACAATGTATTCCAATCTTGCAAAGATATTGACAATGAAGGAAACATTTCTTATCTTCTCTACGTCAAAGTGAAAAGAGGATCATAGCCTTGTCATCAAAAGAGATTCAAGCAACGTTGTCAAATGGGGTCAACACCTAGCTACAACACCTTGGAGAATGAGAAAATGGCTACTTCAAATTGAATGAAAGAAAGAAAAACTGGAAGGTTGGGATGAGGGAGGCAAGTTAGAGTGCTGACACCTTAAAAAAGGGGTGCAGCTGTAGTCAGAAACCTTGCGAATATTTCTGTAAGTCTATACCTAATGCTGAACAACTGTAGTCATTATGTAGTTCTGGTTATTGGAATTTTTGTTTTCAGGATCTTGAATTGAAGGTGGAGGATTTTTTTTTTATGTTTTTTTTCTGTACAGAAA